TCCGTGCCGCTGGGCGCCGGGCTGGAACCGCAGCAGCACCGGGCAGCTGATGCCAGCCGGTGCCTTGTGCTCCCCTTGCCTGCATGACCCTGGCAGCCCGACAAGCTGTGCTTGCTTTCCTTCAACCACTTTAAAGTACACAAGTTAATCAGAAGAACCTCCAAATGCACTTTATTCTAGATAAACCCATACAAACACCAACATGTATTTGTCATTTGCACTTTTTTTTTAACCATTCATTTTAAACAACAGGTTATAACTTCTGTACAACAGGAATTTACACATTAGTAAGATTTGACTTGAAACTGGATGACTGCAAAATAATGCTCTGTAAGCTAGTGTTAGAAAATATGCTGTTTGCCGTAGCAGTTTGCCTGTAAACATGTGAAAATTAAGTTACAGAGAAGTTTGCTTTCATTTCAGAGACTGCTGTTAGAATCATTGGGTTGCCATTGTACGGCTTTAGCCAGAGGCGGTTCTTGTTGTCCGCGTAACAGTGACAGCGAACTGCGGGTACGGAAGGTGTGTGCCAATGTTTTGTGTGCTGACCCAAACCTACCAAAAGAGCCACAATCACTTAATTATACTTCACATCACTTCGTGAGATCCACTTGACGGGTTACAAAGGCCCAGCATGACTTGAAATGGTTTACTAACAGAGTGACACTGTTTAGGAGGCTTGAATAAAGGCAATAATCCCATTCCAGGCTGTAGGCTAAGGCTACAGGGCCTGCTTCAACACATACGTAATCTCTAGAAATCGTTAAAGCTATAGTCGCAAACAAGCAGTAGTACAAATACAGAATAGGACTGATTTTTCATTTCTTCATCATATAAACACACACAGTGAAGTTCACAGGATCAGACCCACGCAAACAGATTCTATTTTACAGCTTTTCAAGCAGAAATGTTGGGGTTTTTTTTTTCTTTTTCTGCCTGTACAGAAGGTTACCGTTGAACCAAACCATCACAGTTCATTCAGACGCACTGCCAGCAAACACCTGAAGTGGAGCGGAACTGCTGCGATGTCTCTCTACCTGGAAAGAGTAATCTGCTCATGCCCCTCCTTTAGTATTAATTGCTGTGCTTTTTTTTATTTATTCATTTGATGCTGCTTTAAAAGGTTAGGTTAAGAATGATAAAAAATCAAGCCCTTAGGTACAGGTATTCTAAGCTTAAGTGCTACTCGAGCCACGGTCCGTGCGTTTAGGACAGAGGGCGAGATAGGTTAGGGCTGGGGTGGGGTTTTTTCCCAATTAAAACTAAACTTATCAAAATATGTTGTGCCAGGCAGAGACAAGAACTGCTGAAAGCACTGCAACATCGTAGTGCAGTTTCCTGAACAAAGCCATACATTCCGTCAAGTATAAAGTGTAAACTTAATAGCAAGTGTAAGACTTGAATTTAAAAAAAACCCAAACCAAACCAAAGCCATCACAGTATGGGTTGGCCGCTGCCCGCTCTGACACGCAGAGGTATAACCTGTGCGACCGCACGGCAGGGAGGGGGCAGGCCGGTAGGCAACGTGGTTTTGTGTTTGCTTTTTTCTCCACGTTAACAGGCGGCCGTGCTGCTGCCAAAGGGCGGCCAGCGATCGCTGTGGGACTGTGCCTGGTGCCGGCCCCGGGCAGCCCCCGCCCCCCCCAGCCAGCCCTCGCCACGCC